AATATAAAGTTTTGAGAAATACTCTCAAGTAACACTATTACCATAACAAATCGAGAGTATTAACAAGATTTATGTTATATCAAGATTATTTGTGAATAACTTGAGAGAATTGAGATCCGTATTTTGTGGATTTGAAAACACTACAATCGACCTCAGATAGTTGGAGCTAGCTTTGTTTGGACCACTTGATTGCAAGACTCGTGATCATGCAGTTTTGGAATATTAAAAATCTTTTGCACCATCTGTGCAGCAGCATTACTATTTGGCTAGGTAGACAAATTGTGCAATATTGTGCATGCATCAGACATGTATGCCCAGCTGAAGGCTCACTTCTTATCTGGAAAAGCTCCTTTTGCAGCAATTCAAGCACCGTGAACTTATAGCTTTGATCACCTAAAGACAAAACTATTTACAGATAGCGACAATGCAACTTTTACAACCTCATGCATTTCTCATATCTTCAACCCAAATTCAATAAACTTTTAGCTGAAACTTAGGGGAAGGCATTAAAAAGATAATTGGTATTCTTGGCATACATATGTTATATGTATGAGAGAGAGAGAGAGAGAGATTTAGCAAAGGGTTGGGTTGTTTTCAATCCCGATTCTCGAGAAAACCAAGTGTATGAACCTATAATTTCTGCTCAAAATTTGGCTGTTCACTGGTAAAGTACAAACCCAACTCAGCTCCCTACAAATTCTGATAAAATCTTTACAGCTCAGGTGCCTGGTGGCAGCGACCTTTACCTCAGCAGCATAGTAAAACAGTAAACATAGTTTAGACTTTAGACTTGGTCTATTATTAGACTTAGAAGTTAGATATATAGATGGACATAGATAGATTATAGATAGATGCCAAGCTCTATGGAAACAGGGCAAATCTGCTAATACAGTCCTAAAGTACTCGTAAACTCCACAGCAACCAAGTAGCTAGCAGTAAAAAATTAGAATACAAATTAATTTATATTTTTATTATAGATAGAAAGAAATGAATGAGTAAACAAAAGACTTGAACAGAAAACGAAAACCTCGTCTCCTTCCCACGAGAGGGATTTTCCCATAAACGAAAAGCCCTGACCCCAAAGCCATTTTCTTTCTTTTATCCCTCTCTCATGTCATATCATGCATTGCAAGTAGTTTATAGATATATACATATATGGGTCAGATTCACGTATATACATACATACAACAAGTATTGGGTTCTGTGCAGCTTCAGAGCTTTTACACCATACCATACCTGGAAGCCTTACCTCAACAGAGGAGCTCGCTGACAATGCCCCATGATACATCTTACACAAAGACCAAACTGATCAAATCTTTTTGTTCTTCCTTCTTGTAAGCTTTTAAAGCTAACTTGCTGGTTTGATCTGAGATTTTAGTCACTTACTATTTTATATTGTATGTATCTTTCTCTGAAAACAACCTAAGTTCAAGCTATTTGGGTGACCTAGAAAGCTGTTTGTATTGTGTCTCTAGGAGTAGGTGGATATTAGGCACCGCCCTAGGTTTTTATTATTTGGATTGGACAAGAAAAAAATGCTGTTTTGGTTTTGGATTTGCCAATGAATTTGTCTTAATTACTGGAAGAAAAATTGTACATGAGAAAAGACCCAATGGATTATGATTCATGAATGACTATTGACTGGGTCACTAGACTAGATATATAGAGAATGATCAAAACTATGTATGTATGTATGTTGATTTCAAAGTTGGGTAGGCCTGGAAGTCCAAGTGGTCCTCAAGGAGAATCCAATGTAAATCATGTAGCAATTTCATATGACAAGCTCAAACCCATATTCAGATGGAAAAAAGGAAGGGAAAAAAAATAGAAGCTCATAATTCTTAAATTAATCATTGTTGTTAGCTCTTGGAATAAATCCATGGAGATGCGTGCCTCTTAGACCCTTTTAATTACTTGCCTTTCTTTGTGGTTTTCTGGGCTTTTTTGAGTTTTTCCTCTTGTTCCCAATAGAGCCCATTATCCATCACCCAGACCCATGTTATTTTCCTTGATTTATTAGCTTTTCACTGACTTTCTCTTCGATTTCTCTCTGAAAAGCCTTGTGGGTTTTCTGGGTTTCGATCGAAAACCGTTCTTTTCAGAGAGAAAAGCGAAAAAATGGCGAATGGAGTAGAGAGGGAAACTGGGTTGGTGCTCCTCAAGGAGAATCCAATGTAAATCATGTAGCAATTTCATATGACAAGCTCAAACCCATATTCAGATGGAAAAAAGGAAGGGAAAAAAAATAGAAGCTCATAATTCTTAAATTAATCATTGTTGTTAGTAATCTGTCCTGCATAAGATCTGTGCAGGGCAATCTGTTATGATTATATGGTGTGGCTTGTGAGAAATACTTCCCTATTCCGTTATGTTGTTCATTTTTTGTCTATCTCGACTTTTTAATAAATGACATGAGGAGAGAGATAAGAAGCAAGGGACACGCAACGGGGTTAAGAAAGTTTTTCTTGTTGCTTGTTGGGTTGGGGACTATGGTTTGGCTGTCTGCACAACTTTTTGAATGCAGAGAGAGAGAGAGATGACTGTTTGGCCAGGTCACTTCAATGGATATCAAGCCAATCATCAACCAAATCGCATGCCACAGTGAAAAAAAGGTTTTGTTTATGAAATTATATAATAATATAATGGGAGTACACTGAAATATTTCCTATACCTTTTAGTAAAGATTATAATGATGATGATGATGATGATGGCATCAGATCCTGCTACCACAAAACCCAATTGGCTCCGCAGTTGGTAATTAGCCAAAACAGCTCATAATTAGCTCAAGACATATGTAAGTGGCTGCACTGTGTCATGAGCTAATGATGGAACCAATTGGCTATCTATACATACATATGTATGTATAGATAGACGAAACCAAACTATAACTAGAGCGTTTCACTGTGATGCAACCGTGTCATGAACTGACTCTTTTCAGGGGAGTATAGTCCAGTGTGGTATGCCACATAATAATATTGCTCATAAGCCTGAGTTGTGATAAGGTGACACTGACATCCACCAGCTTTGAGATTTTGGCACCATAGAGAAAAGAAGTTACCGTCATTCGTCCACGTGCACCTGCGTAATTTATTCATGTTAATGTGCACCTGCGTAACTTATTCACGTTATATACATATGAAATTTACAATGCATTGGTGGCACGCGCGTGGAGAATTGACGCTAACAAAAACCAAGTCCAATAGAGCACAAAGGATCAAAGTTTCTTGCAGTTAACTTTCAATTTAAATCATGCCTCTTGTCTAATATGGTAGGTCCTTTTGGGAGCACTGCCTCACCACTGCCAACTAAAAGTCATGAAGATGGTGAACCAGGCATGGTAGACATTGTTCTGGCTCGCTTCATAAGTATGCAATAAAGATAACCATATTATTCAATTCAATCTTTGCCTATGGGAAAGCAGAGTAGGAAAAACAAATGCAGTGTTTGTGCCCAAAAGAGGAGCTGGCTTGAGCACACACAAAAACCCGCCACTATTATTAAAGGCATGAAAATTCATAATCAAGTGTGTTTAAAGTTTAAACAATCAACACGTCCTGCACCGATCAATTTAAAACCAAATCTTACTATTTTTTATATATATAAGGACAGTATATGAATTTGATAATTGGCATCCAACTTTTGCAATAATGTATGAATTTAGACGCGGATTCTAGCGTCCATGATGTCCCTTTAAGCTAGTCTAAAACTTTGAGTATGTTTTTAAATGTTCCAAGTCATAGAAAACAGAGAATGCATGTGCCATTGTGAAAATAGTGACGTACCTAATATGAATGGCGCCACAGACGCATACAAATAATATAAAATTACTCCCACAAATTCAAGGTAGGTGAGTGCCTAAGTACAATTAAGACATTTTATCACCCAAAAAAAAA